TTTGTTGTACACAATTCAACTGTCAACTTGCACACTCATTAAAACAACTGTCTCCTTGCCCCATAATAACACTGACCTGACAGAGACATGGTAACGGCGGATTTTTCTGGAAAAATATACTTCCTTCTCAAATCTCTGACCGCGTGCATTAACTGCTTCGACAAAGAACGCACCCTTTGCATGCTTTCACAAAGTTCTAAAGTATGGGTCCATCATTTGTAGTATGTTAGCGAAGTACAACAGTAGCTGAGCAGGGAAACGTAGCTTGTCAAGTGCAAATGGCAATATTTGCATACAACAGCCGCTACACCCCAAAAATGGTCTTTGATATACAAAGTCCATAAGACTACGGAATATCTACGGAATATCCATTATTCAAACCTCAGCTCGAATCGAGTCAAACTTTTATAACGATGATATTCATGAAAATAATTCTCGTTTCTTTTTATCTCCATCTGTTATTTATTCCGGATCCTGCTTTGTCAGTTTACTAATAGATTTATGACCTTCAGCCCTTTCCATTCACTGATGGATGCATTCTTCACTAAGACATCGTAGTTAGCGTTTGCTTTCTGCGATTCTGATCCATCTTAATCCAACGAATTTTTGCCATTCATCGATTTGTAGATCTGTCCACTCTTCGTTTACCTTTCATTGAAACAAGATTAATGTTTCTTTGGTCCAATGATGGTCGGTGATTATTCCAATGTTGCCTATTCGTTGTTTATTTCACTCGTACAACGACAAGTAGATTGCTGTTCATCTTACCATCTTTCCTTCTTTTCCCCACATATACGTTTCTATGGTGCTTTGCATTGTCTCTGCAGTCTAGAATAGACTTAGCGCGTAGGGTCTAACTTTCGCACCTATGGATCTTCGATCTACCTATGGGTAGACACTGGTATCGCACTGATCAAAAGCTTAGTTACAAGCACAAAGACATTTTTTCCGGTTAGCAACAGTCTTCGGTCTTCCAAAAGTGGTCCAGCAATCTTTATTCTTTTGCTGACTTTATATACTCCGTTCTAAAGTACTTTTGTAAGCCGCAACAGCGACGTTGTTTGTTATTCCATTAAGAAATCCATTTTCAAACATCAAACTTTTTAAGCAATCGTCTTATGCCAGACTTTAAATTTTATCACAGACAGATATAGTGCGGGGCTCGTTTGCTCCCAGATTAACATCTTCCCATAGGGCAGACAATTTGACAACGTTGTGGCTGCAGGTCTTTGTGAACGTGTTTGTATTCCAAGTATATATTTTTTCCTAGAAGCAAGTCTTAAAGGCACAGGGAGTTTTTTCACACACCGGTTATCACCGCTGCGTTACTCATTCATTCATCACAGATTCTATATTACTTTGGTACTGCTTGTCTTGCAGTAAATAATTATAACGTATCACACATAGCGAATTACCCCATTGACCGGATTTCGCAAGGTATTAGGGACCCCATCGAATGCATGGAATACTGTCCTAATAAAAATCCACTGAGAATACACAAAATCTGCTACATGCCCACTACAACGAACAGAATTTTTCACCACTACTTGTACCGTGATCACATGATATGCAGGACATGCTATGATAAAGAACAGCTACTGTGTGAACAAAGTTAGCATCGAGCCATGGTATGCGGACATTAATCGGCTGAATGCACAACGCTGAAATGACCACCTAGCCGCAGCGCATTAAAGAGCAGGTCGCCCGTTAAGCAATGGACAGTATTTGGCTAACTGAAGAAAAGATGACTTATACTGAATTATCCTAGCACATATGACAAATGTTAAGGTAGAATCGAGATCCGTCCTCCAAGTCGTGGAGAACGGACAAAGATCATATGACAGCTTATTTATTGCCTAAATATAACGAATTAGACCATAGGTTTGAGCTGAAAAAAATGAAGCAGAAGTAACCGTTAGGCAGATAAAAAGGCTGTTTACACTTTGTGTCGGTGACGACGATGAGGCGGCCATTATGTGAGCCAAGGCAGAATGACTGAGTCAGTTCTTAGCTCCATCCGACAGTATATGTTCACTACATTTTAGTTTCTTACCGGGATGTAGGGAGTAAAAGGCGACACGATCTGATGAAGTGGGTGGTTTCTGTTGGAACACACCGATGCCCATGCGAAGGAAAACGTTCACAGTGCGACGTGCGAGTATCAGACACGGTAGCATCGGCGAAGAACAGCTGCACGACCTGTCGCTGACAGTTAGATCCTATTGTGGAACCTGAAACTCTCGCTTATTGTGGCCACAGCTGATATCTCATATGCAGTTGCGGCAAATTTGTTCACAAGAAGGGCACTCACTACAGACCAGCATATAATAATTAAGGCTCACCGTTCGTATTAATCTTCTATGAAAGCACCCAAAGTGTTTCATCGTTTCTTCCACCCTCTGAGTGAAAAATGACCAGATAAGGACTCGAGCAAAAAGAACAAAAGACGTAGAAAACCCTATTCAATATGAAGAAACGGAGAGAAATATAGTATCATCCAAGTTACGTAGATAGTCAAGACATGGAAAACCCAGTCAAACAATGTTGCCTGAACATGTATTCTGATACGGTCGTACCTCCTATATGGGCTGGATCGCAGAGACCAGACCTCCTCCAATAAAATTTGGCATTTTGAGTTGATGAAGCGTAAAATACGCAGAACAATAAACGATTCTTAATCGCCGACACAAGGTCTCGACCTAGCTTCTGTCGCCACGTGACACTTTTCCTGCTCCTCCGTATCTTAACATTGGCATCCGACCAGGAAGCTTAAGGATACGTTTAAAAAAACGCTTTGTTGATCCCACTGTTCAGATCCTACCTTTCTGAACACTGTAAATCACAGAATTCATTCAGAAAGCCAAGGTTTCAGAAAACAACCTTATTGTCTGTCATTTGCTCAAAAACGTCATCCACTAAGGTCGGTAAAAGTGAACGATGGAGTTATCGTCTGTAACGTCATTTTCTGAATAAAGGCTTTCGATAGTATCAAGCCTTGATCATTCCACGGCCACTAAATTGAAGCTACTTTCTGCTACAGCCATTGGGCACAGAATCAGCATGAATATTTGGAGTTACGAACCAATTTTGGTCTCTCCTTTTCCACTTCTTCACGAAACCTAATTTTTCAAACTTCTCCGATCTGACGGCAATATCTGATTTATATTTCCTAGGTACATTTTTTGTTCAAAAACAGTTAAAAATGCATCTGCTTCAAAGTCTGATCGATCAGAGCATACTTAACGTGTCTCAATGATATTTAAAAAAAGTTACGGCGCCACACCCGTGATCGTACGGCTCACTACGACTTGATACACGTTCTGATGTTGGCGGTTAAAAAATATCACGCCTCCGTTCTGGTAGACGATTCATCACATTCCGACGCGCTGTTGCCTTCGTTTTTTCCACCTACTTCACAAATGAACACGTTATTCATCTGACCTTAAGGTCGAATTGCAATGGCTCTTGGAAAATGAGATCAACGTACGAAAGAAAGTAACGCAAAATAATGGGTTAACAACGGCAAACTTCGTTCCGTTTCCGTACTCTTAATCGTTTACAAGTGGCGAAAGTGGAAATTTTCGATGGGGCGCAGAACCATTCGAACGTTAAACGTCAGTCTTTCGGGTACTTCACACGGTTAACAGGGCTGACTTGCAAAACCGTCGACGCTCACTGAT